CCCCCTCCACCCACTGCCCACTCCCTGCACAAAGAGACCGTGCCCTCCACAGGCTGCTGGCTGGGGAGAGGAGGCACTGACCTGCCCGGCAAACAGTCCGCAGACTCCGATTATGCACAGGATGTTGAACACGGCAGAGCCCACGATGGTCCCAACTCCGACGTCCCCGTGGGTGATGAACACGCCTGGACGGACGGACGGACAGGGGAAGACAGCGCTGCCCCCAGCCCTACGGCGGCAGGCCTGCTGCTGCCTGTGGCCCAGGCTGGCCGTGAGGACTGCGGGGGCAGGTTCTCACTCCACAGAACACCCACGGTGTTGGCGAGAAGAGCAAAACCAGAGGCAAAAGTGCTCTCGGGGTCCCCTCTGGCCCACCCTCCCAGCTTGATTGAGACAGCACATGCACGGCCATCATAATTCCCCACAGTTCAGTGCTTTTCTGATACGCTAGTGCAACCACCACCCCAGCCTAACTGTAGAGCATGGTAGTCACCCCCAAACTGCCCGTCCCCCAAAGGAGCCCCGTGCCCATGAGGAGTCCCTCCCCTTTCTCTCCCACCCCAATCCCCAGGCAACCACTAATCTATGTCTCGTCTCGCCAGCTCTCCCACTGTGCAGATGGGAACCCTGAGGCCCAGGGCTGACAAGGGCTCCCCCTGCCCTGGGCCCTCTCCAGAGCCCGTGGCTCGGGCTGGTGGGGAATCCTTACCAATGACCGAGGCAAACAGCTCTGGGGTCGAGCTCCCTGCAGCCATAAAGGTGGCTCCAGCCACATCTTCGCTCAGATGGAGCCTCTGAAACAGACACGACCACCGAGCCTCAGGGTCATGGACATGCTGAGTGGACGGTGCGGGGACCAGCCCACGCTGGACGCCCCACGGCCTTGCTCAGCCTGGTCTCCAGGCCTCACTGCTCAGCTCCCTCCCGCCAGTCCTTCTGCATGGAGGGCTTCCCTTCCCTCATCTCTCCGACTTCTATCAGTTCTCTGATGCCGCGACTGCATGTCTCTTTGGTGACACCTTTTCCCTCCTCCAGGCGCCCTCCCCAGACATGTGCTGTGTGTGTTAGATAAGAATTGCTGTGTCTGCGGCTATCAAAAGATATAGCGTCTGGGGTCTCAAAGGCTTGAAGGTAGACAAGCGGCCATCTAGCTCAGAAGCAACAAAGCCCACATGGAAGAAGCACACCAGCCTGCGTGATTACGAGGTGTCGAAGGGATGAGGTATCAGGCATCAAAGAGCAAAAAATCATATCATTGTGAATGAGGGGGAGTGCAGAGTGGGGACCCAAAGCCCAGAAGGGTTGCAGGGAGGAGACAAGCCAGTCAGGGTGCAGTGCAGCAACGATGAAACTTTCCTCGTTTCATACAACTTTCCTCTAGTTCCTAAATGCTTCCTCCCCCCCACTATCATGATCCCAATTCTACCTTACAAATCTGGCTAGACCAGAGGATGTACACTGGTACAGATAGGAATTGGAAACACAGGGAATCCCGGACAGATGATCCCTTCAGGACCAGTGCTGAGAGTGGAGGGAGGGTTAGGTGGAAAGGGGGAACCGATTACAAGGATCTACATATAACCTCCTCCCTGGGGGATGGACAACAGAAAAGTGGGTGAAGGGAGATGACAAAATGATAATTTATAAATTATCAAGGGTTCATGAGGGAGGGGGAAAAATGAGGAGCTGATGCCAGGGGCTTACGTGGAGAGCAAATGTTTTGTGAATGATGAGGGTAACGAATGTACAAATGTGCTTTACACAATTGATGTATGTATGGATTATGATAAGAGTTGTATGAGCCCCCAATAAAATGATTTAAAAAAAAAGAATTGCTGTGTGTGGTCTGTTAGGTAAGAATTGTTGAGGCGTGAATGACCAGGACTGAGGGTTTATAGGCCACTCACTGGCCCTCTGCGTACCCCAGGACGATGAGCCCCTGAGGGCCTAGATTGGAGTCTGGCGCACAGCAGGAGCTGAGCCAAAGGGGTTTCTTTCCCTGAGGAGAAGCCAAAGCAGAGGAAGGGGAGACTGGGGTCTCGTCTGAGGGGGACGAAAACCCAACAGCACAATGAAGGGAGAACATGCCCACTTAAAAGGAGCAGGACAGAGAGGGCACCCCACCCTTTCAACTCATCTTCCGCCCCCAGTGAGTCTTCCACCTGCCACCTGCCACCTGGAGTGGGTGCTGGGAGCTTCCAGGCCAGTTGCAGGTCTAGCTGGGCTCCTGGCTGACTGGGCTGGCATGAGCACCTCTACTGGACCCAGAGGTCCTGGGTAAAGACTGGGGAGAGGGCATTTTCTTCTTTCCAGCCCTAGGAGGGGCTGCCATCCACCAATACCTCCCCAAGGGCTCAAACTCTGCACCATATCCTCATGCCACCAGGGCCTGCCAGCCGGCAGGAATGACCCCACACCCTCAATTTCTCCTGCCCGCCCCCAGCGTGCTCAGAGACCCGAGGACCCTCCTGCGTACCTCGCAGATCTTCTCCAGGGACGGCACGAAGAAGTCGTCGCACACGATGGCCAGGGCGTAGAACATGTACAGAGCCTGCGGGAGAGAGGTGGGGGTGCATGTCTGGTGGGGGCGTCACGCTCCAGGCCAGGTGCAGGCCGAGGCCAGGTGGCCAGCGGGCGGAGGCCGACCCCAGCACCATGGAGGTTTGCCCCTTCAATGCCCTGGCCGAGAGATGTGGAAACGGAGGCCCAGAGAGGAGACATGGCTTGCAGGGTGACATAGGGGACCAAACCGCAGCAGGGGAGGTCAGAGCGAGAAAGGTAGATGTTTTGCAGGCCTGTCATTCGAAATGTGTCTGCGACCCACATCCCAACTTCCGTGTTCAGGCATGGTTTATCCTGCTCATGAAAGCCTCGCTCATTCATTGCTCCCTGCTTGTCACCATGCAAGAATCCCTGAACTCACTCCTTTCGATCTCTTGCAAAGACACATACTCAACTGGGTCGAAGGATATGGACAGATAAGGCTGAGTGGGGCTGTGGCAGCTGATCAGGAGGAAAAGGTGTTGGGATTGATCCAGAGCAGGGAAGGGATCTGGGACCACCTCCACCTCCCTGTACTGCACAACAGAGCCGGCAGACTTTCCTGCAAAGGGTCGGATAACAACTCTTTGCAGCTTGGGGGCTTCCAAGGTCTCGGTGGCCACTGCTCAGCTCGGCTCAGCCACGATTGCACAACTGTAGCTGCCACGGATTAAATTTCTTGCCCCTCCCAAATGTGTGTTGAAACCCACGTCCCTGTGATACCTGAGATTTGGACTCTGTCTGGAAACAGGGGGTTCCCTTCCTTATGTTAGTGAGGTCATGTCAGAGCAGGCTGGGTCCTAAACCCTATCACTTCTGAGTTCTGAGAAGAGGAGAAGGGAGTTCAAACTCCAAGCCCAAACTCACTGCCAAGGAGTCGAGGCCGACTCAGAGGGGCCCTATAGGACAGGGCAGGACTCCTCTGTGGGTTTCTGAGACTGTCACCCTACGGGAGTCGAAAGGCTCCTCTTCCTCCCATGGAGCGAGCGGCGGGTGGTTCCAGACTGCTGACCTGGCCGTTTGCAAGCCCAGTAGGTAACCACGGCCCCTCAGAGGGAATTCAAGATAACGGAATTTCCCCCATAAACTTTCTGAAGCCCCCTGGTGGCTTCCAAGACAGACACACTGGGAGTCTCTTGGTGTGTCCTCACCCACCAAGGTGGCTACAGAGACAGAGCCACACCAAGGAATGCCGAGGGCCCCTGGCTGATACCAGAAAGTAGGAGAGAGTCCAGAAGGATGGACACAGCTGAGACCCTGATCCGGATGTTCTGTCCCAGGATGGTGAGGACATGAAGTGCTGCTCTTCCAAGCACTCTGTGGGGTTCAAACCGCAGGTCTTGCATTCAGCAGTCCTGCCTGGGACCTGCAACTCCAGTGGGGTCCCTATTGTGATGGTAAAAAAACCCTAAACCCAAACCACTGCCATTGAGTCCACCATGACTCACAGTGACCCTACAGAACTGCCCCTGTGGGTGTTGCAGGCCGTCGAGCCTTAGGGGAGTTCAAAGTCTCATCTTTTTTCCCATGGAGCAACTCAAGGGTTTGAACGGCTGACCCTGCAGTATGGTTATGGTCTCACTGCTCACTGCCATTGCGCCAATACAGACTCGCAGCGACCCTGTAGGGCAGGGTGGAACTGCCCATGCAAGCACCCGAGACTGGAACTGTCCACGGGAGTGGGAAGCATTTTCTGATAGCACTAGGTAGCTCAGACAACAGTCAAAGACAAGTAGACAGGAATGGGTGTGGCTGTGCCTCCCATGAGACTTTATTTTCCAGGACTGATGGAGCTGAGAGGCTGATGGAGCCCTGGTGGTACGGCGGTTACACGTTGGGCTATGATCCACATGGTCAGCAGTTCCAAACCACCAGCAGCTCCGAGGGAGAAAGACTGGGCTTTCTACTCCAGTAAGGAGTTAAAGTTTCAGAAACCCACGGGGGTCGCTATGAGTCGGCATTGATTCTATGGCAGCAGGTAGTGGGCTGAGCTTTGCTGATTTCTATCAGAAAGAACCAAGGAGCCCTGGTGACATAGTGGGTTATGCGCTCACTGTGAGGTAATTATACGATCATTTGTCCATTTGAGGCTTTAGAGTGTAGGGGTGGAGACTAGCCCATCAATCAGATCACAGCCAATGAGGCCTCTGTGTGGGCATGGCCTTCTCCTGAGAATTCTGGGAAATCCTAAATTTCCTCCTTGGAGGCAGAAGACGCTTCTCTCTCTCTGTTTACTTCCTGAGAGACATCCCTGAGGAGAAGTTACATGGACTCACTCCGATGCAGTCCTGGGAACTGGAGAAAGCCATGTAGAGACCCCTGCCAACGCTGAGATGCTTACAACACCACTGGATCCAAAGACTTTCTGCCCACTGGCCTGTGATTGTTCTGCATTTGACATCATTGCATGTGTTTCATGAGTCTGAAGAGGACTTTGTAGGTTGGTAGCAGACATATGGGCTAATATCGGCCTAATGGGCTTGGGCTGGACTGGGTTGGGATGCTTTCTTAATGTACAATTGCCCTTTAGATAAAACTCTCTCTTATACACGTTTGCATGTTTATGAATTTGTTTCTCTGGTTTACCCAGACTAACACAGGCTGCCAATTGTAAGGTCAGAAGTTTGAAACCACGAGCCACCCAAAGGGAGGAAAAAGAGACTTTCTACTCCCCCAAATCCATTTGCAGGGTCCACACGTGGAGTAAGCCTCTGGCAAATCCTCTCTGACCAGAGTTGAGGGATGTGAAGAGCCCTGTTATCAGACAGAGGGCATGGTCAAGTCGATATGGCAGACACAGGTAGGTCCAAGTGTAGTATCATTTGATCTCCCTTTTGACCCAATTTAAAGCTGTTTCAATTAAAAAAAAGAAAGTGATGGGACCATACATGTGGATTAAGGCCCTGGCGACGTCCCTCTGACCACGGACCAGGGATGTGAACAGCCTTGCTCACATGCTAACTGCATCAGAATGTGGATGGCTATGCAGGAGTTGGCTAACCCTCCTATCATGAAGAATGAAATGCAAAGTGGGTGGCTGCAGGTGCACTTAGATTAAAATTTAGCACCCTATCATATGATCTCCCTTTTGATCTATTTAAATTTGTTTTAGTGTTTAATATTCTCCGCTGTTTTTTCAATATTGGTTTTTAATCCGTCTTACCTTGTTATTTTTTAAAAGTGTTTTTCTGTATATGAAACCCAGGATAGGTAAATCTATAGAGACAGTAACTGGATTAATGGTTCCTTGGGGGCACGGCAGGGGAGGTTGGGGGGAAATCGGGAGCTAATCACCACGCGTACAAGAACGAAGGAGATGCTCTGAAACTGACTGTGGTGATGATCATACACTTCTTCTTGATGTGATGGGGCTATTAAATTGTCTGACATGTGAATTATCTGCCAATAAAACGGTTTTTAAAAGTTCCAGTCTCCGAAACCCACAGGGGCAGTTCTACTCTGTCCTATAGGGTCACTATGAGTTGGAATGGACTTTTTGGCAATGAATTTGGTTTTTGTTATCACGGAGAGCTGACTCTTACCTACACCTTTAGGTTTGGGCCCATGATTCTCTTTTTAAATGGCCACTGGGATGCCACCGTTTGTCACCGAGGCCCATCTAAATACAGAGAGAAACCTGTGACGAAGTCTGGCCAAGGTTCAAGATGCACAACAGTGATCTATGTACATGGAGCTCTGGTGGGGCAGTGGGCTGTCAACCTCAAGGTCAGTGTTTCAAACCCAACAGTCTGTCCTGGGAGAAAGATGAGGCTGTCGGCTCCCACAAAGATTTATAGTCGTGAACATCCTGCCCAGGGCTGCTGTGAGTTGGAATTGATTAGATGGCTGTTGTTGGGTTTGGGTAACAGTGATGTAAATTCACAGCCATCAAGTCAATGCTGACTCACAGCGCCCCCTGGGGGTTTCCGAGACTGTGACTGATGATGGGAGTAGAAAGCCCAGTCTTCCTCCCTTGGAGCTGCGGGTGGTTTGGAACTGCCGACCATGTGGATCGCAGCCCAGCCCATGACCACTACACCCCCGGGCTCCTATAGCTATGTACAAGTGGTATAATTTGGGTGGGAGAGGGAGAGTCCTGGGACCACCGAGAGCAATGGTTTATCAAGCACAGGCTCTGACCCGCTTTGCCCATTTTCGTCGGTGCTCTCTCTCCCATGTGATCTGCCATTAGTGGTGGGGTGGAGGTCCCCTGGTGGTGTCGTGGTTACCCACTGGGCTTCAATCCACATGGTTGGCAGTTCGAAACCACCAGCAGCTCCAAGGGAGAAAGACTGGGCTTTCTACTCCCGTGAACAGTGACTGTCTCGGAAACCCACAGGGGGTGCTGTGAGTCGGCGTTGCCTCGATGGCAGAGTGTGTAGGAGAGAGAAAGGGTGGTGGACACTAGGCTTTAAGATCCGGTCTCTGTCGGTGACACCTGGCCATCTGTCTTCCTCTCAGGGCTGTCCCAAGAATGAAGTTCTATCTCCGACTTGCTGTGGGGGGCCCCTTCCCTCCCCCCCCCCAAGGCCGACAGAGCTTCACAGGCCTGCAGTTGGAGCCCCCTGAGCACAGAGGGAGCACTTACCCCGAGGATGTGCAGCAGGACGGCTCCGTGCTGGCGCTCCCTGTTGGAGAACAGGTCTGTGGGGAACTCGTTGATCGCTGGAAGACAAGACCAGGCGGCAGGGCGTGAGTTAATTAGCAAGGAGATTCAGGGTAGACTTGCCTGCCTCCACACTGCCCAGGAGGCAGCCAGCTACATCTCCCCAGGGAGGTGGCCAGGGACTGATCTGAGAGCCCTTAGGAAGAAGAACATGCTTGGATACTGGATTATCCTCTGGTGGCACAGTGGTTATGCACCTCAACTGCTGATCAAAGGTTGGTGGTTCAAACCCAACAGCCACTCCATGGGAGAAAGATGGGGCACACTGCTTCTGTAAAGATTGATAGCAGTGGTTCTCATCCTTCTTCATGCTGCGACCCTTTAATACAGTTCCTCATGTTGTGGTGACCCCCAACCATAAAATTGTTTCCATTGCTACTTCATCATTTTGCTACTGTTATGAATCAGGTGACTCCTGTGAAAGGGTTTTTGACCCCCAAAGGGGTCGTGACCTACAGGTGAGAACTTTTGATTTATAGCCTTGGAAACTCTATAGGGCAGTTCTACTGACTTTCAGTGTTGCTCTAAGTCAGAATAAGCTCAAGGGAGATGGGTCTGATTTGCTTTCTTCTAGTACAGCGGTTCTCAACCAGCGGGTTGAGATCCCTTTGGGGGTCAAACGACCCTTTCACAGGGATCGCCTGATTCATAACAGCAGCAAAATGACAGTGATGAAGTAGCAACACAAATAATTGTATGGTTGGGGGTCACCACCACATGAGGAACTGTATGAAAGGGTCGTGGCATTAGGAAGGTGGAGACCCACTGCTCTAGTACCTAAGGTCCATTGTGTTTCAGACAGGCTTTGTACGAACAACAACAGAGTATGAGCCAATCCACACCCACCAGGATGCCTAGAAACAATGGGACAAGTATTAACAAGTGTTGGTGAAGATGTGGAGATGCCAGCACTCAGGGATTGCCAGAGGGGAAGTAAAGAGAAGCAGCCCTTGGGCAAACAGTCTGGGAGCTCTTCAAAAGGATTAAACACAGAGTTACCCTATATCCCAGCAAATCCACTTGTCAGAAGACACCCAAACTCACTGCTATTGAGTCGACTCCAACCCAGAACAACTGTGGCTGTTACAGAATCTCCTGTCAACTTGAGAAGGGGTGCAGTCTAGCCTGTCGATCAGGCCGCAGCTTGATGACCTCATTTGGAGGCGTGGCAGATAGAAATAGCTCACTGGAGGCCAGACACACACACATACTGCTTGTCTTCCTGCTGACAAGCCACATGGAGACCCCTGATGGAACCAGAGCCCTGGAGCTGGAGGAGCCACATGGACACTCACGCCAGTGCTGAGATGCTTCCACTGCCACTGAATCCACAAGACTTTCCACCTACTGGCCTGTGACCTTCCTGCACTCGGTGTCATTGCATGTGATTCGTGAGTCTGAAGAGGAATTTATAGATTGGTATGGGACATATGGGCTAATATCGGACTTCTGGACTTGATCTGGACTGGGCTGGGATGTTTTCTCCATATACAATTGCTCTTTTATATAAAACTTTTTCTTATACACATATGAGTGTCTATGAATTTATTTCTCTAGTCAACCCGGACTAACACAACGCCCCTGTAGGACGGAGTAGAACTGCCCCTGTGGGTTTCAGAGATTGTCACTCTTTACAAGAGTAGAAAATCTCACCTTTCTCCAGAGACGCGGCTGGTGGCTTTGAAGGGCTGACCTGTGGTTAGCAGCCCAAAGAAGAACCACTATGCCACCAGCGCTCCAAGAAGAACACAGCCAGGATAAATGAAAATATATCTCCCACAACAACCTGCACCCTTGTGCTTGTAGCAGCATTATTCGCAATAGTCACAAGGTGGAAACGGCCCAAATGCCCATCAACAGATGAATGGATACACCACCTGTGGTCTGTCCATACAATGCGCTGCTACTCAGCTCCCCCAAAGGATGACATCCTGATGTGTGCTACAACATGGATGACCCTAGAAAACACGATGCTGAGTGAAAGAAGTCAACAAGGCCCCAGAGAGCATGGTTCTACTTACAGGAAATGTGCAGAATAAACAAACCCATAGGGGTGGAAGGAAGATTAGTGGCTGTCTGGTGGTAGTAGGAGGAGTCCTGGTGTCATGGTGGTTACACAGTGGGCCATGATCCACAAGGTCAGTAGTTCAAAACCACCCGAAGCCTTCTCCCAGGGAGAAAGTGGGTTTTTCTTTTTCCTCCTGTTACCGGTTAACAATCTCAGAAACTTACCAGGGCAGTTCTATCCTGTCCTATGGGGTTGCTGGGAGTCGGGGTCCACTGGATGAATGGTTGGAAGGATGGGGGTCTGGGGTGGGGATGGTTAAGGAGTGTGGGGTGTCTTGTTGGGCTGATGAAAAACGTTCTCAGATGGATTGTGGTGTTGATGGCACACTTCTGTGAACATATTGAAAGCCGCTGAATTGTAAGCTTCAGGGAGAATTGTTTGGTATCTGAGTCATATCTAAATAAAGCTACTACAAAAAAGAAAAAGACAGAGAGCGAGTGAAAAAGTCAAGACACCATAGAGGAAGATCAAGGTTAGTTCTAGGTTCTGCCCAGGGATCCCTAACCAAGAGCTGCCTAAAGCCTGTAACACACACTCATGCGTGGGTCCCTTCTGAACATCTTTCCCGAGGGAGGCCGTGGGAGTCAGACTGAGGCTGTGAGGCAGTGGGATCTGCTCCAGACGGCAGTTTTCTGGGTCCCACCACCAACTTCCAGGCATGGCTCTGACATTGATAAGCTGTGAGGACAGGGGCCCGTTCCTCAACCTCTTGTGCCTCAGCTTCCGCATCTGTAAAACGGGGACATTGTGTCACTTGTAAAACCTTGCAAGCTCGTGGTGAGCAGCCTCAGATTTGTCCCCTGCGTGTGCTTTGGGACACCCTTCCCTCATGGTGGCCAGGGTGGGCCCCTCGGAGGGAGATGTTGGAAGGAGGAGCGGGGCTGCAGGGGGGAGGAGGAGTCACGGCTGGCACCTCCTGGCTCTCTGGGAGCTCGGGCCAGGTATCTTCACGGCAGAACCGGGCTGCACTGGGTGTCCAACAATGGTCCCCAGGCCTTCCTTCTGATGAGGATATGGAGAAGCTGGGGCACCAACCTGCCTATGAACAGCTGAGGACATCCACCTGTGTGCCACCCCAGGCAAGAACAATGGACCCATGCCCCAGGTGGGAAACCGAAGGTCCCCAGAGGCCTCATGCCCGTGCTTTGGGCTGAACGTTTTTTTTTACATCATTTTATTGGGGGCTCGTACAACTCTTATCACAATCCATCCATCCATCCATTGTGTCAAGCACATTTGTACATTTGTTGCCATCATCATTCTCAAAACATTTGCTTTCTGCTTGAACCCTTGGTATCAGCTCCTCATTTTTCCCCTCCCTCCCTGCCCCCCTCCCTCATGAAGTGTTGATAATTTATAAATTATTATTATTTTGTCATATCTTAGATTTTCCGACATCTCCCATCACCCACTTATCTGTTGTCCGTCCCCCAGGGAGGAGGTTATATGTAGATCCTTGTAATCAGTTCCCCCTTTCCACCCCACCCTCACTCCACCTTCCCGGTATCGCCACTCTCAGCACTGGTCTCAAAGGAATCATCTGTCCTGGATTCCCTGTGTTTCCAGTTCCTATTTGTACCAGTGAACATCCTCTGGTCTAGCCAGATTTGTAAGGTAGAATTGGGATCATGATAGTGGAGGGGGGGAGGAGCATTTAGGAACTAGAGGAAAGTTGTAGGTTTCATCGTTGCTACGCTGCACCCTGACTGGCTCATCTCCTCCCCGAGACCCTTCCATAAGGGGATGTCCAGTTGCCTGCTGTCGTCACTGCGGGCGGTTAAGTGGATTCTGGACTCATGGCGACCTCGTGTGGCAGTAGAACTGCCCATCGAACGTCCTAGGTTGTCACCGTCACTGGAAGGAGCCCTGGTGGCGTTGTCGGATGAGCATTGCACCGCTAACTGCAAGGTTGTCGGTTCTTTGATGCCCGACACCGGATAGGATGAACTTCTGCCTCCCGCCTGAAGACCCTTTCTGTAGGCCCCCCAGAGCAGGAGGCCACAGGGCTGGAGATGAGGCCCCGGCTAGGGCAGATGACCACCTCCTGTCCCAAGGTCACTCATGTGATAAGTCCTCCCTGGGCCTCAAGATCCCACCTGCCATGGTGAACACCACTCCTCGTGGTATGGGCTATCATGGTCCCCGGGAGGGGCACAGACCTCTGCTCTGGGTGTGGTACACTCTTCCCTGGTACACTTGGGATACCAAGACCATCCCTGATACCTCCATGCAGCTTTGGGCACCTGTCTGACCCTCCGGCCTAAGGGTGCTCAAGGGTGTGATGGGAAAGGAAGCAGCAGTCACCACTGTGCCCACTCCTGCAAGGGGACAAGAGCTTCAGCAGACGAGCCGCCTCTGAGCCTCTGTCGGGCAGCTCTCCCCAAGAGCCACCCCCCAGGTCCTTATCGCTGGTCCTCTCCCTCTCTATTGCACCCTCGGAGTCTAGGACAGTGCCCGGCCAGGCTCGGGTCTCCACTGACCTTTCACAACCATGGTAACATATCAGCGGAAACAGCCATCTGCATGTTGTCGCCCCTCCCCCCATACTCTGGTAAATCAGAATGACATCTGGATCATAGTGGGTGCTCGATAAACACCCGTTAAATCAACACACACACCCCATCCCCCAGACAGAGCTCTCCCCTCTGCAAATGTAACTGGATGCCACGCTCTGCCCCAGAAGGCTTCTCCCTTACATGGACGCTCTGTGGTTCTGTTATTGTCTTTTAAAGAGCAGAGTCTTCCCCGTGGGGCACAGAAACACCAGCTCTCCAGACACCCCGGAGATGTGCCCATTTTAGAGCAAAGCAGCGTGGGATGGCATCGAGCGAGATTCTCTGCCTTCTCCGCCTTCTTTCCTCCCTGCTCCCAGGAGAGAAAGGCTGCTGACCGTTCAAGGGCATGGAGCCATGTCAAGGTTTCCTGGCTCAG